AGAGTCTGTTAAGTGACTTCCAGATGGTCCAGCCAGAATCTTGTCCTAGCTGGACAAGATTCTTCAGCAGGCATCCATTCAGCAAGGTGTGTTATTTTTGCTCTCCATAGGTTTTGCCTAGCCTCTACTGGTTTAATATTTAGAGCCTGATATGTGCACACAAAGCATTTTCTTAATTTTAACCATCATCTAGGGGGTTGGTGTCCACGGATGGGGTTTGGTACTGTATTACCTTATTTTGTTCAGTATCTGCTAGCATCTCTTGATGTATTTCTGGAGGAGAAATGACAGCCAAATAATAAGACTTTTTCAATGCGGAAAGGTTTCAGATAGCCAGTAATAATCCTGCATGATTCATTAAGAGCTACATTCATTTGTTTGGCAGGTGCTGATTTATACCATATGGCACCAGCATATTTTGCTGTGGAGTAGCACAGGGTCAAAGCTATTATTATTTGTGGGTGTGCACCCCAGTCTGAGTAGCCAGTTTCCTAAGTATGTTATTTGTGGTGGCAACTTTCTCTTTGGTGTTTAAACAAAATTTTTGTAGGCCAGGATTTGATCCAGAATGATGCCTGAATACTGTGAGGTAGGGCAAAATTCAAAAATCCTGCCTTCCCAACTAACTTGGAGCTTCCTCTCTGTATCTCTGGTCTTTAAATGAAAGGCACAGACTTGTGTTTTGAAAGGGTTTGGTTTCATCCTGTTGTTTTTTTAATATAAGGAAAGATATTCTAATGCAGAGGTTAGCTGGTGCTCAATTCCCTCAAAGATTTCCCGCTGGGTGATCAGGGCAAGAAAATCAGCATAACACAAAACTTCTGGCATATGAGAATGTTGATTGATCATTTGTGTAAATTCTAAAAAGTAATGGTGTTAGGATGCTACCTACGGGCAACTGTACCCTTGATTTCTACAACCGACTGTGTCTCCCTTGAAATCCAACCGAGAATTTTCGGCAACCATTTCTGTTCGTCCGTGATCTTTTTTATAGAGCTTTTTGAGCAGCAATTGATGGTGGACAGTATCATATGCTGCTGTGAGGTTGACAAATGCTGCTCCAGGAGCGCTGCGCTGATAGGTATATTTCTACTTGATTTACAGATGAGGTTGATAAATGCTGCTCCAGGAGCGCTGCACTGATAGGTATATTTCTACTTGATTTACAGTAGGGGTCTGAGGGAGGTAATAAATAAAATAAATTTATTTCTTTCTTCTGTATGCACAGATACACACACACACACACTTGTAGTGGTATGCATTCTGCAAGCAAATTACACTAGCATGCTCATGTGTAGCTTTGTCCTCGCAAATGAAAAATTCCTGAGGACATTCTTGAGCAGGCCAACAACTGTTTTTTAACTCCCAGTTATTTACCAGCAGCCGTAATAAACAGGATCTCCATCCCCCAAATTAGATGGTTGAAATCACACCAGGTGGGCAATCAGGAAGTGATTTTCAAATGAAAGGATTGAAGAGTTCAGTTCTCCTACTGAAAATAAATCCGTGGGTTTCGCATATACACAGGGCTACCCTTGTGTTCTTTGCTCCTTCCAGTTATAGATCTGTTCCCTCAGCTACTGCTCTGCACCTGGCTTGGGTGCAAAGACTGTAAGGCAGAACTGTGACAAGGTCAAGGCAAGGGAGGCATTTGCCCCAGGTGCTGAGTGGGCACCGAAAATAAAAATAAAATAGGCATCTGCTCTCCTAAACAGGGCATGTCATTAGAAAAGGGACATAAATGCCATAAATCAAAGCAAGCTAAACCTTATAAATTTCATACTTAATCCAGTATCATGTATGGTCATGGTGCCTGGCTGGCTGACTGCTCCCCTATTTTTCTCTGCCCTTTTCATAGAGTGATGAAAAAATTACCAATTCCTGTCTCAAATAGGAAAATAAGTAGTTATGGCTCTGCCGTAAGGTTCCATCAACCTTCACCTCATCCCTCCAACAAGCAGATGTGACACTTCCCCTCCACAACTTTTAAAAGCCTTCACCTTCCTTGAGGCTCGTAGCATGTCCTCTGCAAGCCAATTATGCTAACCTATCTGCGTGTAGGCTTTAAGAATACTTCCCCAAACCTTGTATCTCCCCCCACTCATATTTAAAGCTTTGTAGGCTAAGGATCATGACAAGATGTTAATTATGATAAAATGTTCATGATGACAAACCTTTAATATTTTGACACCTCATCTTACCCTGTCATTATCACACACCTCTTTGGACCAGCAGCATCAGTAAAAACCAGCTGTTGTCAGTCACATTTCAGATTAGTGTATTTGCAATGAGTTTTTCCTCATTTGCTGTTAAATAGTGTCCAGTAAATAATGTCAACTGCAATTAATTTATATCCATTGGCATGTGCCCCAAGCAGTCCATAGAGGAGGAAGGGCCACAAAGCCCCTGCAAGGGACTTTTGAAATGGAGACCAGATTAGGCAGCAACTCAGCAACCTTTAAGAATTAATTATGCATTTGGACACACACACCCCATTCCTTGTCTTGCAAGGAATGCCTCCAGCCCACATAGTCCCAGCAGAGTGGTTTCCTTCACCTCCTTGCCCTCTCCTGCTTTCTCAATCACGTCACTTGGAGAAGATACACACATAATCCAATCCTTCTTTACTCCGGCCTGTCTCCCTGGCCCCTGGCTGCCGGTTTCACTGTGTTGCAGATCCTACTTTAGCTGCCTCAGTCTTTTGAAGTGGCAATACCACCACCAGTATCAGAGTTGAGTGGGCATGGGAATGGGCAAGGAAACAGGGCCCCGACTAGTGTGTGGCCTTGGATAGTTCAGTTCTTTGGTTATGGGCTGGTCTGGAAAACCATGTCCCCAGCCAAGATGATACTCCAGGCCCTACTTCCTGGGGCAGAGCTGGGTGGTGAGGCAGGTAGCAGAGGTAGGAGGGCGTGACCTCCACTGTCTCAGGGTCATTGCTCCGCTTCTTGTTGTAGTTTAGTTGTTTAGTCATGTCCGACTCTTCGTGACCCCATGGACCAGAGCACGCCAGGCCCTCCTGTCTCCTGGAGTTTGGTTAAATTCATGATGGTAGCTTCGATGACACTGTCCAACCATCTTGGCCTTGGTCGTCCCCTTCTCCTCTTGCCTTCACACTTTCCCAACATCAGGGTCTTTTCCAGGGAGTCTTCTCATGAGATGGCTAAAGTATTGGAGACTCAGCTTCAGGATCTGTCCTTCCAGTGAGCCCTCAGGGTTGATTTCTTTCAGAATTGATAGGTTTGTTCTCTTTGCAGTCCAGGGAATTCTCAAGAGTCGCCTCCAGCACCACAATTCAAAAGCATCAATTCTCCGCTCTTCTCCCCCAATTTCATCCTGCTTGGTCTCCTCTTCCCACCATCTCAGTGGTGGGATTCAACAGGCCAACAAATGGTTCTGCAGAACCAATAATACATTAGCTACCGGTTCTGTAGAACTGGTGCGAACCTGCTGAATCCCACCACTGCACCATCTCCACCTCCTATCCTTTTATGACCCTGACTTCCCCAGGGTTTTCCATTCCTCCACCTTCCTCCTGCTCAGGTGTGGCCTTTCAGGCTGAGACTGTCCTTTTTGATGGGTCAATCCACCAGGGTTCAAGGCCCAGCCTGGTAAGCAGGTGTAGCCTCCCACAGGCTGCTATGGGGTCCATATAGAGCACCTTAGATCAGTGGTCCCCAACCTTGGGGCCTCCAGATGTTCTTGGACTACAACTCCCAGAAATCCTGGCCAGCAGAGGTGGGGGTGAAGGCTTCTGGGAGATGTAGTCCAAGAACATCTGGAGGCCCAAGGTTGAGGACCACTACCTTAGATGACCCTTGCTCCAGACAGCTGCCCACCGTCTCACACCTCTCTTATAGTACAAATAAAGTCAGAATTAAAACTTACTGTGACTGAGGGCCAACCTAACTGATACACTAAATCTAGGACTGCAGATTCAAGTATCAAAAAGAAAGCTGGGACACATGGGAGGAGGTGTGCAAGGAGGATTTATTTCTTCAACGGTTTATTTGTTCTGCCACGTTGTGATCTGAAGCAGTGGCTCATTACTGCAAGGTAGGAACTGGAAGACCTCAGAACTTTGAAGTAACTAGGCACAAATAATTGTAGGTCTTTTTCAACTTCAAATGTTCAAGTTCATCGTTAACAAGTTATTTGTAGTTTATTCCATTTTGGAAAAAACTAAGGCATCAGTAAGACATTTGGGAAGTCACGTTTTGGACTACGGGTCCCACAATCCCTCAATAGCCAGACTGACTAGGGAATGATGGAACTTGGGAGTCCAAAATGAAAGTTTTCCCATCCAACTCCGAAGAAACATACATTTTAATTGCAGCCTGTTGAGGAAAAATATCATTCCTTTTGCCGTTTAACTAACTTCTACATACTTTTATAATTGTTGGCTTTATTTGTTTTCCTTGTTGTTTTTAAGTGTCATCAAATCATATTCAACTGATAGTGACCCTAGTATAGTTTTCAAAGTTAGTGAGATATTTAAGGGATGATTTTGCCAGCACCACGTCCCCATCACCACCATGAGTTTCCATGGCTGAGCCAGGATTCAGATGTACAGTGTATCTTCAATAAATGGCAGAGGAGAATATCACATGACTCAAGTCGTGGCTCATGCTGAGCTGTCTTGCAGGCGTTGAGGAGATGACAAGATTCAGTGGGAGGGAGGAGTGTGGGGTATTTTTTTTTACCATAGGCCAGCAGCTTGTAGCTTTCAGATCTGTTTAGTGTTTTTTTTTTAACACCTTAACATTTTGAAAATTTTATAGTCGCTTAATATATGTCCCATCTTGGTTTATTTATACGTGGTTGTTGGATGCTAGATGAGTGGAAGCTGAATTTGTAAAGTCTTTGGGTTTCTCTATGATGGGCCATGACCTAGACACAAGGATTTCTTATTTTTGTGCTTTTTCCTATATGAATGTGTAAACTGGGAAAAAGTTAGAGCCTAGAGTTAATAGAAAATCTTTGTTCCTTCATCCCATCAGGGCTGGAAGCATAAGCCAAGAAGAACTGACACAGAAACTGCCGCCTGTGCTTCTCGAGCAAGATGATTCTGAGGAGAAAGGTAGGGGGGGAAAACATAACCATCATGCTAAACTGACTTCGTAGAAGAACTAAGGGCTCAATGACATGTGCCAAAAGAATTGTTTTATTTTCACCCCTTTTTTGGAATCTATGCCTTTTAAATGTAGTCACGTGGTGCATATATTGGTGGGTACATTCACATTGTTGTGAAAAGAACAGTTTCATTTCCAGCAATTTCAACCGTTTTAGCAGACTACACTGAGCAAGTATTTTAAATCTTTTTTTTAATATTATCGATATATTGATAAATGCTGACCATCTCTTTCTTTTTCTCCTCAAACAATCCCAAGCAGGAAATGGCCCTTTCTCTGCTCAAGCCATCTTTCCCCACCCACAAGGGAGGGGGAGGCTGTTTCCTGTTGTTTTAATGGTGGTGGCTGCTACTACATGTAATATACCAATATGCCTTTAAAAAAAAAATTAATGTTAAATTTTAAAATTAAAAAAATTTAAAGGATATACACGCAAATGACCATGGAGTGGCCACAGCACCCAAAAACCTGATACCTTGACAAAGTAAATCAATAAACAGCAATGTTCACACATGCGGAATTGAAATGAGTTGAATTGATATATGATCAGTACATTTTAAAACAATCCCACCGGTGAGGAAGAAATTGCAGGGGGAAATGAATCTGTGCAGGGGCAAATGAATCTCTGTTAGCTGTGTGTTGTGTGAACAGAAAATTTTGAAATCATCTAAATAATGGCAAAATCGGTAGTACATTTTAAAACAATCCCACCGGTGAAGAAGAAATTGCAGGGGGAAATGAATCTGTGCAGGGGCAAACGAATCTCTGTTAGTTGTGTTTTGTGTGAACAGAAAATTTTGAAATCATCTAAATAATGGCAAAATCGGTAAAACCAGGGTTCTTTTGGTGCTGGTGACTGAGCCCTAAATTCTTTAAAACAGTATACAATTTGATGGGCAAGAGTGCCTTCTCTCATACAGACCCCTCTTCTCAGGGTCTTAAGACCTGACAACAAGGCTGTACCCTTGCTGTCTTCTTCTGTGGAGTGATCATTACCAAGGGCAGGCTTGTGTGTGACCCCAAATCTCCCATGGGGAAGGAGGCATCAAAGGTTCGGACATAGGGGTTGAAGCTTCTTGTAGACACAACTTTATCAATCAAACCAACAAAGCAACACCAAACTGTTCTAGTCACTTCAGTCAGATTGTCTCTGTTTCCTCCAGTGTCACAGCTGTGTTAGAGTGGGAGTCACTGGGGTGAGATCAGTGGGATTGGGTTGCTGACACCATCTTTGATTCTGGTGCTTCCAGCTAGGTCTCCTCCTCCTCTCCCACCTCCTCCTCCTAAAACCTAAATGGTCTGTTGGCCCATTCTATCTTCCTCCTCTTTTATAACTTCAGGGTCTCCCTCCTCCTTTCTAGATCATTCCAAATCCCTTGCATCTTGCCCTGAACTTCACTCTTCCTAGAAGATCCCTCACTTTTAGGACACACGCCTCCTTTTGTTTCCACATTCTACAATTGTATAAGTGACTCTGGAGGGGTTGTCGGCATCATTGTCTGTGAAGTGTGGCCACTTTCCGGGGATTAAATGGCCCTGGGCATTAGTGGTGTGCAAGGCACAGGAGTTGTCCTGATGCTGGGACTGTTCGGGATTCCTTCACAGAAGGGTCTTGCATGGATTGGCTCCAGAGTCATCGGCTGTTTTCACTGGGAGTTCTAAGTGTATTGTTCTGTGGTCTCCTTTCATAGGTGTTTGTGTGTGTGTGGGGGGGAGAATTTATTGTAACAGCATTTTGGGGGAGAACAACCAAATATTGCAGTGGGGTCTGCTTATGTGCTAGATGTCATCATCCAGTATACTCCATTCCATGCCCCCTCCCTGTCATTCTTTTATGTTCTCCGCCTGCCAAAACCGAGTCTGTGTGTTATGCAGTTGCTGGGCTACTCAACCTTTACCAAGCTGTTTTGGCCTCCACACTAGTTAAAGCTTTTTCCTAAATATGTCTGTAAGAGCCTTCCAGTGCCTCTCTATTGCGCCACGTAAGGACTGGCACTCATAGAAATTTCACTATTGGACATTTTGATTTTTTCCTTTTGTTCTCCAATTTACCCTTTGGGCTTCTGTTACCTTTATGTTATTCTCTTTTCTGTTTTGTACCATCTGATTTATTTATTCATGCATTTAAAAAAAAATTCATGCAAATTGCCATGTAATCAATTTTCTGTTGAAAAAGCAGAGAAGCATAAATATTGTAAATAGGTGAAACAACAATCACACGCATGCTAGAACAATCTACAGTATATGGTCACACACACACACACACACACACACACACACACACACACACACACAAATCCACATTCTGCACAGAAAATATATAGATTAATGTTTGTTCAAAATGGGTTTATTTTTACATATTTATTGTAGGATGGAGCTATTTAGTGTATGTACTGTATATGACTATAGATCGACTACATTGTCAGCAGCTTCCCAATGTTTCAGCTAGGAGACTTTCCCAAAGCTGCCTGAAGATCAATGTTGGGTCACCTGCTTTAGTTCACTTATGAAACCTCATTGAGATCTTATCTTTTGTCCCCTTGGGGTGAGGGATTGAGGACACAAGTGGATATGATGATGAAACGTGTAAGCCAACTTTCCTCAGGTTGCTATTGCCCTCCAGATGCTTTGTTCCAATGTTTCAGCTAGGAGACTTTCCCAAAGCTGCCTGAAGATCAATGTTGGGTCACCTGCTTTAGTTCACTTATGAAACCTCATTGAGATCTTATCTTTTGTCCCCTTGGGGTGAGGGATTGAGGACACAAGTGGATATGATGATGAAACGTGTAAGCCAACTTTCCTCAGGTTGCTATTGCCCTCCAGATGCTTTGGAATACGACCTGCATCAGTCTCTTAATGGTAAGGGATGATGAGAGTTGTAGTCTAACATATTTGGAAGCCACTAGGCACTAAAAACTTACATCTGATTTTTTTTTGGGGGGGGTTGGTTGGTTGTGTAATTTCTAGAACACAGATTGCAGACATGTTACTTTTTTAAAGATACCTTCCCAAGTTTTAAAATAAGCATAGAATCATAGGCTTCAGAAATTTCCTTTGTGTAGGAGGGAAAACAATTCATTTCTTTGGACTCTAAAGAAGAGCACATACAAGCATACATGTCTATTTATATGTATCTATATCTATAAATATAGATATCTCTCCAGCACTCACAGTTGTAATCTCTCTTATCCACTTAATATGTGAGGCATAATTCCATACCATCTGGACATTAGCTTTAAACTGTTTTCTCTTACATTCTTGTCCCCCCCAAAAAGACTAATTTTACAACAACAACAAATGCATGCATGTACAGGTGCATTTTTCCTAGATTTACCCACACTTTTGGTAGAACTCTTGAAAACATTGGGACTTGAGTTGTCCCACAGTTCCCTTAAGCCTGGCTGATCTCAACAGAAATCTGACAAGCAAGACCCAAGGCTTGCCCAGACAGAGGAATTTAGAGTGGTCTGGTTTGGGCTTCAAAGGTTCTTATCCAGAGATGGGCGTAAACTGCAGTTTGGCAGTTTGGCCAAGTTCAGTGCGGCACCTGCACAGATGTTCCACAGGCATCTCACACTCCCCTCTCCCACCTCCTCTGCACACTCACCCATTCCCCAGCCAAAGCATGCTTCCCTCCCCTGCCTCCTCAGCACAACTGCCCACTCATCCATTGCAGTGAGTGCTTCCCTCCTGTGCCTCCTCTGGCAGCTGTCCACTCTGGAGGTGTGGCAGCGAAGCCCACAGCACTGTCTTTAAGTGGCAGCCACCAGAGGAGGTGGAGGAGGGAAGTGCATGCTACGATCAGATCAGTGAGTGGGCAATTGCACTGAAGAAGCTAGGAAATGGCCAAGCTCTCAGAGGGGGTGAGAGAAGGGAGTGCGTAGTACCCATGGAACACCTCTGTGGGCACTGTGTCAAACTGGGTCGAACCACCGAACTGCGGTTCATGCCCAACTCTATTCTTACCTTCAGTGAGATTTTTTTAAATCACTCACTTGAGTTCTGTTCACACTGTAGATGTTAATTGTCCTGTGAGAAAGATCCACACAAATCTTTTGATCACTGGTTTATTCACGTGTAAGTATACCTGGTTTACTTGCGAGTAAGGAGGCAGTAGCGGAAGACAGTGGTGGCAGAGCAAGTTTGTGGTGGTGGTGGTGGTATTGGTGTGAGGGGAAAATGTTAAGGTTAAGGAGGTGGAAGGGAGGTAACCTCCCATTCTCTTCACCTTTCTCTTCAGCCAGGGCCCTCTTGAGGCTATTCTGCCCTGTGGGGGTCGAGCCCATGGAGTCGACATAGCCCCTTTTCCTGACTTTTCTTGCAGCTGTTATTCAGCCAGCTGCAGTGGCTCTCCTCTTTTTTGGTTGAATAAAACAAGTGGCCTGTCAGAAGAGCAATGCATCAACCTAGCATCGTATTAGAATTACACTGCATCACTTAGGAACTTTTTTAAAAAAGACAAAAATAAAGGAGGGAGTTTCTCCATCCTCCTTTTTAATGTCACAGTGCACCTATTACTTCACAGGGCTGTCACTTCTGATAACAGGTCCAGAATGCGGTGGCCAGATTAATCGTCGTTTAGTCGTTTCCGACTCTTCGTGACCCCATGGACAAGAGCACGCCAGGCCCTCCTATCCTCCACTGCCTCCCGGAGTTGTGTCAAATTCATTCTGGTAGCCGGATTAATAGTTGGTGCAAATAATTTGATCATCTATCTCTAGTCTTTGCTCACCTGCACTGGTTACTGGTTGCCTCCTGGGTCAGATTCAAGGTTATGATGATCACCTACAAACCCTTTCATGGTTTGGGGCCATACTACCTGTTGAACCATCTTTTCCCAATACTGTATCATCTATCGGCATCACTAGGTCCTCCCAAGCATCACTCCTCCAGGTGGCTCCTCTGAAGGAGACCTGGAAACCATCTAGCAGAACTAGGGCCTGCTTCA